TTCATTTTTTCACAAAGTGAGCATTTACCAAAAAATTGGCCAACGCACAGGCTGCCCGTGCGAAGATGCGTTTTTTGCAGAGTTTCCCGCAATTTTTGTCACTATCGGAATCGGTTCTTTCGGCAAATGCTTCAAGCTAGACTAATTAAGATTGGTTGCCAGAACTGGTAGGAAACACCCCCTTAAAATTTCAGCTTTCTAGTTTTCCCCGCCCCTGAGTTAGCAACTTACTGGAAAAAAACTTTCACGGGCCCGCACGTGGGTACGACGTATGCTCTATGTCTGGATTTGAGCTCGTTAAGACTTATTTGGGCGGAGAACATTCCCTTAAAGTTTCAGCCTTCTAGCTTCTTCGATCTCCAAGTCATGAATTTGCGCGGGAAAAATTTTGGAGGGCCCGTACGCGGGTACCACGCTTACCCGGGGGCTGGACTTGAGCCCACTAATAGCCGCTTGGGCGGGGAACATTACCCCAAGATTTCAAGCTTCCTAGCTTCTCAAATCCTCGAGTTATGAAACCGACCCCAAAAAAACTTTGGGGGGCCCGTACGTGGGTACCATGCGGGGTATGGCGCCAATTTTCGGGATTGGGGCCCGTACATGCATGTTGATTAAGTCCCCAAAATTTCAGCCCCATAGCTTTTGTAGGTCTTGAGATGAAAAACCGTGACAGACGCACACACGGACACGCAGACACACAGACAGACAACACAGACAACCTCTCGTCAATATGCGTTTTTCGCATTGCATAACACACACACAGACACACACACACAGACAACCTCTCGTCAATATGCGTTTTTCGCATTGCATGCTGACACACACAAACACACACACAGACACACACACAGACAACCTCTCGTCAATATGCGTTTTTCGCATTGCATTGCTGCAAAACACACACACACACACACAGACAACCTCTCGTCAATATGCGTTTTTTGCATTGCATAACTGCAAAAAAAAAGCGTAAAAACCAGTACTAGTGACAAAATATAGGCAAAAAGTCAAACTCCCCTCCCTATTCAGCTTGCTTCAAACACACACACAGACAACCTCTCGTCAATATGCGTTTTTCGCATTGCATCTAAAAAACGCATACGCACACACAGACACATACACACACAGACAACCTCTCGTCAATATGCGTTTTTCGCATTGCATTGCTGCAAAAAACGCATAAAAACACACAGACAACCTCTCGTCAATATGCGTTTTTTGCATTGCATTGCTGCAAAAAACGCATAAAAAGCGACCGGACTTCATGCAAAAAACCGGTAATCATGCATCTAGATGTTCGTGCGGCTCTATAATGCACTACCTTCATCCCAACTGATGCCCTTCCTCCTGCATGCCAGAAGGGGCCAAAGCACGGCCAATATGAGCACAAGTATTAGCGTAAGGATCATTCTTGCTTACAGCGTAAGGATCATTTTTGCTAATAGCGATCTGCGAGTATAGTGCAAAAACGCATGGTCGCACCGGAGAGCCTGGTGCTTTCCAGCCTGGGTTTAATTTGTTAATTTATTTATCAGACTGATATTGTTTAAAATTACTTGGGACTTGTTCTGTGTTCTGAGCTAGAAATCCAGGTCTAAACATGGACTAATTTTTGCAGCTCAAGAACAGGCAAGGCCATAAACTTCAGGTGTGGCAGTTCAGTTTACTTTGCCGCTCCATTTAAGTATCCTGAAATTAGCTTTCAGAGACCAGTGTATCTTGGTCAGTGATAGTAGCTCAAATCCAAGCTTGTTCTGCGTGAGATGAAAATTTTAAAATTTTGGGCTCGCAATTAAACGAGCCAATTTTGGAGGAAATGGCTGCCTTGCTAATGGACCGGAAGCCTCAGATTTTAGCGCCGCTTTCCGCTGTGCTTTGTTCGTCAGCTGTTTCATAAGTGCATATTGAGGAAAGGAACAGCTCCCCCAAGCCTTCGCTTTGTCTCACTGTTTATAAAAAATTCTGATTTGAATTCATTTTCGATAGTGATGCCGTAGATAAGAGCGGTAAATATTTTCTACAACACAAAGAGAAACAGTGTCAGGGCAACTGTTCGATTTCACTTTTGAATGCCTTGCTTTGGGTACTCGATTTTTGATCAAGTGTCTCAAGGGAGCAGACAGAGTCTTAAGGAGCAGAAAAAGTGGATAAAGAATATGAACTATGCACACCTTAGTTGTGAAAATCACTCGATATGAAATTACTGCCGATTTCTTAACTTTATCAGTGCATTCTACTGCTGAATTTCGATTCAGTGTCTCGAAGGCCAATGAAATGAGCATCTTCATTTAGAAGACAAGCTTTACGGATTTTTGTCACTCAGTATTCCAAGTTTACTGTATCAGTGACAGTGTTCGAAAAAATTATGAATCAATTTTTTTAGATGGGCATAGGCGGCATGTTTGCAAACTCGATACGTAAGGCGCTGAATACCGCGGTGCCAAAGAAACTGTGGCCAAAAATTAAAAAACGATTGCGGTTTGCCTTCAATCAAAGAGGTGCAGTAGATTTTATAGTCTTTGATGGGTTCGAACTAGTGGAGGAGTCTTTGCTCCTTCAAGAAGCGTAACTTTGTTACAAATAAAAACTGGAAGCATGGACGTAGCCGCAGTGCGGAAAAGAAGTGTTATCCAAATTTGGTGGTACCCCACACAAATGTTGCCTTCTAAAGCAAAATAACACTTCTTTACTTTTTTCATCACTTTATAGCATGAATTCAGTATTTTTTACTTGGGATTTTATACTATCAACCAAGCCCCATTTAGTTTTGGTGGCTTTGCCACCAGTTTTTATGCGTTTTTGCCTATATGCAAATTGCAACCCAGGCTGGAACGCACCGGACGGGCCCGTGC